CCCCGCCCCCGCCCCCGCCCCCGCCCCCGCCCACACCCCCACCGGAGAGCAAACGGGAAATTTGAGTTTCCTCTGCCTCACACAAGGCTGTCCCTTTCCTACAAGGGGAATTTCTCCACCTGGACTCTCCAACCTTCTGCTTGTGGGGTCCAGGGGGCCCCTGATGGGAAGCGTCTAGGTGGGTGGGCGGGGACAGGCCAGGGAAGGTCCAGGGGTCCTGGGGCAAGAGAGGGAGGGGAGGGGGAGGGCTGAGCAGGGCACTTAGGGTTCCGCTGGGAGGACTTATGCTCCACAGGAGAAGGGGGCTGAGGCCTGGCTATCTTCTGACCCCTCTGAAGAAGTGCCGGGTTTAGGAGAGCCCTGGAGGGGCCCCAGTGCTGGGGGGCTACGGAGTGATAAGTAATTGGGGAAAGAGGCAGAGAAGCAGAGAGGCGCAGACATAGATAAGCAGGGAGACACAAGAGAGAGAATTAGGAAGAAAGAGAGAAGGAGATGGAGAGAGGGAGAGATCCGGGGAAGAGAAAGTTAGGGAAAGTTCGGACAGAACGTGGAGGAGGCGGGGCGGGCGGGAACCAACCTACCGGGCGGATCTCTGGGATCCCCACGGGCCAGCCCCCGGAAAGCGGGGCTTCCGGATTGTATATAAAGTGCGGTGCAGCGGCCTCGGACCGCAGCCGCCCGCAGCCGGTCATGCACTCCAGCACCCAAGCCGCTCCGGACCCCGAAGCTCAGCGGCCGCTCGCGCTCTCGGGCCGCTCCTGCCACCCGCTGCCCTGGGCCCTGAGCGCCGCGCTGCTGCTGCTCGCCGCCGCCTGCGCCGCCTGCCTGGTGCGCGCCTGGGCCGCGCCCGGGGCTCCTGCATCGCAGGTCCCCGGCTCCGCGCGCAGCCCGAGACTCCCGGAGGGCCTGGAGCTGACGCCCGACGCCCGCACCCGCCTCCCCGACTCTCCGCAGGTGAGATGCGGCCCGATCCGGACCCCGGGAGAGACCCCTACCCAGTTCCGGGACCCCTTCTCCATTCGCTCCCCCCCCACCCCGAGGTCCTTTCTGCCTCCCAGGCCGAGGGTGGAGGGACCCCCATCGTCCCTCTTGGACCTCCGAGGGCACCGCTTCTTTATCCAGGACTTCGGGGGGCACCCTTCTCGTCCCGCACCCCCGTGAGACCCCACCTCATCCCGGGACCCCAGTGGGGAGCACTTTCTCCATCGCGGACCCCGAGGGACATTTTATCTCGAACCGCTGAGGGGGCTCCCCCTTTCTTTCGTAACTCGCGGAGAACCTAGGTTTTCTCCCGGACCCTTGCGGTACCCCCCTTTCTCTCTCCAGACTCCCCAGTGCCAAGCCCCCCGGAGGGACTCTCTCCTCTTTTCCCTCCTGAGTCCTCGGGGTTCTGTCCTTGCACACAGTAGGGCTGGGGCAGCGCGCGCGCTCTTTTGCAGCGGGAAGGGAAGGGAGCGTAGACTCACGCAGATCCCGGGCACCCCACTTTCCAGAGGGCTGCGGATGCGGGAGGGGGGACCTCCACCAACTTTCCGTTTGTCCTCTCTCGGCAGGGCGTGTTCGCGCAGCTGGTGGTGGCCGACGGTGGTGAGTGATTCCCCCAGACAGGGGGGAGGGTGCACTAAGCGGGAGAGCCCCAGGAGAGGGAGGCCTCCCCTGTGACCCAATCCGACCCTCTTTCCC